AGGACGAACCATCATCCATCGAGGCTGTTACTGAGCAGATTCAAGCTAAAAATCAGATCATTTCTATTTTGAAGGAGAATCTCGATTTGGCTCAATAAAGAATGAAGGAGCAAGCAAATAAGCAAAGACGGGATGTGCAACTAGAGATTGGTGACATGGTGTATCTAAAAATTTGACCCTACAGGTTGAAGACTTTGGCTAAAAGACTCAATGAAAAACTTAGTCCTCGTTTCTATGGATCGTTTAAGATCACACTGAGGGTTAGGAAGGTGGCATACAAGTTGGCGCTTCCTCCTATAGCCCGAATTCATCCTGTCTTCCATATTTCTTAACTCAAAAAGTCCGTGTCTTCATTGGTGCTGGTTCCTACCATCCCACCTGCTCTCTCAGCTGAATGGGAACTAAAAGTGCAACCTCAAGAAATTTGTAAGGTCCGCAAGCTCATGAATGGTCAGCTGGAAGTCTTAGTCAAGTGGAAAGACTTACCAAAGTTTGAAAATTCATAAGAAGCTGCTGATGTTATTGCTACACAATTTCCTGATTTTCCCTTTGAGGACAAGGTAAAACTTTTAGGGGAAGGCAATGATAGACCCCCTTTTGCAGCATAGACCTATAAGGAAGTTTAAGAAGAAACATGAAAAGAGCAAACTGCTTTATGGGAGTCAGAATATTGACCTTACTACCCTTACTCTTAAGGAGTAAGACGGTTAGACTTAGAGTTGACTGTAGGAGTCTAGGCCTAGTTAGCAGAAAGTGAGGTTGGGGAATGGGCAGGCCACCTTTAGGTCTTTTGTAGTCGTTGGTTCAGTGGTGTGGGGGATAAGTCATATTTTGGTATTTTGGTGAGAGGAGAGATTGGCTCTTGAAAACCAGAGGACATGCTCTTTGAGCATTGCAGTGTTCTAGTTTCTCAGTTGTTGTTGGACCATTCAAGTGTAATAGAAGTAAGGCTTGTTCTGAATCAGTGAAGGCTTATAACACTAATTTAGCATTTTAGAAGTATTAATAGCAAACCTCAGTATTTCCTTGGATTTATTGGTTGTTTTTTGTTATTATCTTTGTGATTACACTTGTTGAACCGTAAGGTTGCAACGCATTGCAATGCTATCAAGCATGCCCTCTAGTTTTCGAAAGCTAGTCTCTCCCCTCACTTAAAATACAAATTATGACTTACCCTCCAAAAGACACTAGCGACTACTATGCGAGTGTTCTCTAAATACTTCGATCATCAGTGCTTGAAAGGTTGATAGTGCATTGGTCAACCCGAAAGGCATCACTTTGAATTCATAGCGTCCCTTATGTGTCTGAAAAGTTGTCTTGTATTCATCTCCAGCTTTAATCCGAATTTGATGATATCCGGATTCGAGGTCCAGCCTAGAAAAGACAATTGCTACCTTTAGGCCATGTTTGGTAAGTTGGAATTGTGAAGATGGAAATGAAATTGGGATAAGAATCTGAATAAAGTGATGTTTGGTAGATATGAATTACAATTCTTGGGAATCCTTATTCCATGAAAAGAGGTTGAATTGAATTACTTATTTAAAGCTATGGAATTGAGAGCAATTCTATAGAATTGTAACATTTAAGACACTTTTGCCCTCATACAAATTCCAGAAAGACAAATTTGCCCTCAAAAAAAATAAAACCCTCACCTCACTCCTAGTTCCTGATATTTTTGCTCATTATATATAAAACGTTATAATATATATATATATAAGATAGTATTATATATAATATTTGTATATAATTTATATATTTATAATATTTTTTGTAAAATATTTTACTAGATTTTTTATTATTTAGAAAGGGAAACTTTTGATTTTCTTGTATTTCCTTGCTACCTTTATTAAATGTTTTTATTGGTACACAATTAAGTTTTTATTATGTTTTATTTTAATTTTTATATAGGGGTATTTTTGTCTTTTAAGTATAATTCCATTTCCATGTCTTGCATACCAAACAAAAGTAATGCAAGGATTCTATCTAATTTTTCTGACATACCAAACATACTTTTATAATTCAATTCAATTCCAATTCTGATTCCAATTCTGATTTTAATTCTAATTCTAATTCCATTAAAAACTATTCAATCATACCAAATGGGGCCTTAATTCATCTAGCAATTCATTGATAGTGGGAACCAAAAACTTGTTAGGTACTGTAATTTTGTCCAAGGCTTGGTAGTCAACGCAAAACCTCTAACTTTCGTCTTTCTTAATCAAGAGAGTAGGACTTGAATAGGGGCTATTACTTGGCTGTATAATTCCACTCTTTAACATGTCCTTCACCATATTTTCAATCTCATTCTTTTGTAAGTTTTGGTATTGGTATGGTTATATGTCAGGTGGTTATTCGCTGGGTTTAGTCACAATAGCATGATCCTTTGCCCTTGATGGTGGTAATCCGTCAAGGCTTTACGATACTGTAGGAGATTGCTGTAGCAGCCTCTGTGCTTCATGATTTAATCCTATTACACCTCCTTCATTCCTTACCATTCCATTATATTCAAGCAAATAACCTTCTCCTTTCTTCTTCATGGACCGTAGTAAGGACTTGAGAGTGGTCTGAGTTTTCAATAAGGTGGTCTCCTTGTAAGCGAATTCGGTTAGTCTTCTTGCTGATTTTCATAGTCAATAGGCTCTACTTCACTTTCACATCTCCAAGTGATTTCAGCATTCCATTCCCAACACAGCATCAATTCCTCTCAAAGGGAAAGGATGGAAGGTTTGAACCATATCAAGACCTTGTATTTTCAGACACAAATCTTTGCAACATTGCTTCTTCCTTAATGTATACCCATCCCCCACTGTTATAATATATTCAGGAATTTCATTTATTTGAAGTTTCACTCTACCTTGTAGATCTTTAGATATAAAATTGTGGGCGGCACCACTGTCAATGACGATCACTATTTTTGCACTCGTGGTCCTACCCCTTACTAGCTATGGAATTTAAGGATAATTCCATTCGCATAGCCTTACCTTTAGCTTCAACATTCTCTTTAGCATTCTCAATAGCTAGATCGTCTCCTTTATTGGCTGCCTCCATGTCCATCTCAAGTAACATCACTTGAAAGTTCTTGTTTTAGTAGATGTGATTGGGGCTAAATTTGTCAGCATACTTGAAGCAGAGTCCTAACTCCCTTCAGCGAGAGATTTCAGCATCAAACAGGCAACAAGAATTCCCCACTTTTCGACTCAAGACAGTCCTGGTCAAATTACTCCTAGTTTTCAAGTCCTACGTCTTTACTTCTACACACTTTGTGATTTCCCTTGAAGCACTGGTTGAGTTTGCACTCTTGTTGGGCTCTGGTACGTGAGTAACGCGTGAATAAAAGGGTTGGGCTGAAACTGTTTTGGGCCCTATTGTGCTCGTTGGGCCCGAGAAACCCTAAAACCTTTCTCTTCTGGCATCTAGTTGTGTTCATCAATAGAAAAAGCTATCTTTATCACCTCTCTTAAAGTCGTTGCATTTGACAACCTCAACTTTGCTCTAATTTCATCCTTCAACCTAGTGCAAAATGCTCCTATGAGACACTCTTTTGAAGCTTCCTTTAGTGGTGCCAACAGCCTTTCGAACTCCTCTACATATTCTAACACAAAATACTTTTGCTTGGCTGAGAATAGCATCTCACATTCACCCCCACGTTGAGTGGAATGAAATCTTTGCAACAATTCCTTCTTAAACTTGGACCAGTTTCTCAGAGGTGCTCAAGTTTCTAACCATTGATACTAGTTCAAAGCTTTACCTTCCAGACACACCACAACAGCTTCTAGCTTCTCCGGCTCTGTAATGGTGTTAACATGAAAGTACCTTTCTACACGAAAGAGCCACCCTAGAGGGTCTTCTCCCATGAACACAGGTAATTCTAACCTTCTGTACTTCCTTACTTCCTTCTCATTGTGCATATTATTCCCAAAAGCCTCTCTGTGTTCACTAGCTTCCTATTCTGGTACACAAGTGTCTACCATATTCCTTTGAATCTGTCCTACGGTCTCGTCCATCCTTTTCAACACTTCCTTGAAGTTGTCCATGTCCCTAGATAGCCTATCAACGGTCTCTTTCAATTCTTGAACCTCTGGGTCAGCATATTGCACGTGCTCACCCATCTTGATAGCCCTTGAATCTTACCGCTCTAATATCAAATGATGGAGCCTTGTTGTTTTACACTTATAAATGCAGAAATAACAACAATAAAATAGCAATAAATCAAGGGAAATGCAGAAGTTTGATATTAACGGTTCCAAAAAGCTAAATCAGTGTTACAGAGACACTCCACTGATTTAGAACAAAACCTATTCCCCGCTACAACCAAAACATACAAACAGAACAATCACATTGCAATGCTATCAAGCATGCCCTCTGGTTTTCGAGAGTCAGTCTCTCCCCTCACTCAAAATACAAATTATGACTTACCCTCCAAAAGACACTAGCGACTACTATAACCTCAAAAGTATCTTGCACAGTCTCCAACATCATTTTTTGCTAAGAAAGATCTAAAAACCCCCCCGGCCAACACTAAGTCTGTATACCTTTCCTCTTAAGAGTAAGAAGAGCAAAGTCAACATTCAGCCCTTCCTAAAGGTGCTATGCCTTTTTCTTGTATTTTCCTATTTCTCCTCTTATAGGTTTGTAGCTTCCTATTTCTCCTCTTATAGGTTTGTGCACGAAAAGAGATTCCATCAAAACACTTTGCAAAGTTGAAGGGGTTAATTGGCAAAATTGAAGATTGGAATGTCTCTTCTACCACCCCCCTGCCAAAAAAAAATAATAAAAAACTTCCTTAGTCTTTTCAAATGGTGGGGGCTGTCCATGTCCACGTATGTTTCCTTTTATAAGGTAAATATCATATATTTCAAAATTAGGTAGACAAGAACCACCCAGAGATTAAGAAGTAAAAGGTCAGATAAAGTAAGACTCCAAACAGCTTTTAGGCCTCCCTACAAACTATCTCCCATAACAAAAGCCTTGAGAACTGCCTTCATGAAGCCTTAAACTACCTGATAATTGCAGATTCTGTGAGATAGCTATCTGGGCATCACCGGTTCCAGGAGGCATGTCCACCACCAGAATATCAAGGTTTCCCCAGTCAACTCCCCGTGTCATTTTCTCAAGAGCATTTGCTACCTATTACAATCCAGTAAAAAAAAAAAAAAACTCACATAGTAAACTGGGTAATGGGCTGTATCAGAACGTTACAATCAAATGTATACTGTAGAAATTTGCCAGGAGCAAAAAAGGATTGAAATAACTAACTTGTCAATCATAAGAAAACTACTATATACTAAATATCTTTGAAGAAAATGAAACCTCAAACATTGACAACAGAAGCATTTATATCTGCAATCTCATTCATGAGATTAACTATATGCAACAACTGCTGAATTAAGCCAGTAAGTGTAGATAGCAACCAAAATATGCAAGAGAAAGGACAGATTCTTATTGATGTAACTTCATCATCACATACTGTTAGCTGATTTTAGTACAAAATTATTGGATCACTTCCCAATTCACTTATTTTCTCACTCTTATTGGATATACAAGCTCAAAAGACTCCTCTTTTTGATATAATTATATATGATGCAACTTATCACCTTAGCACATGTTTAAGCTTTCTACCAAACACTGGACTGCATATCAGAATCAAACGGCTACTATCTCAACTAAAAGAGATTTAAGTTAATACAGTAAAGCTGCACAATTTCACACTCAAAAAATGAAATAGACAAAGATTGTAATCATGAATTTTTGTATTAGAATGGGTGGATATTTCATATTCCATTCTTTTAACATGTAACTAGCTGCTTTTTCATCTCTTAATTAATGTTACACTCTCATATAATTTGCAGGAACTTAGGGTGTTATCATGTCTGCCAGACACTTTGAAACATAAAGAAAATGGTTTCTGCTAAGCCTAAAATTGGAAACACTGTCGAATCAGTCTTAAAAACAAAAATTTCAACATGCTTATGGGATCTAAGGGTTGCTCTAATGGTTGACTTAATTTATCTCAGCCCTTCGGAATGTTTTCATGCTCTTTAGTTTCAATTAAGTTTGGAAAAAATATAAATGCATGACAGGAACAAAAATCTACTAGGAAGGAAAAGAACACAGCATACCTTAACATGAATATAGAAGTGACTAATGCATAGGATCTGCCAGTCTGTTCACAGACTGTAATCCCATATATTGAACAAGTATAAAAACAAAGCTGAAATACAGTAAAGGGATGGAAAAAAGAGAATAGACAAGAAGGTAAAGGCATACCATGGGACCTCTCCATACAATTGGCGCATCTTTCTCCACAAGGAAACCCATTGACATACACTTTATCCCATAGTTTTCAACAGGAATCATTTTCTTTTCTGAAAAGAAGCAAATGGATTAATATAGCAATAAAGCACAGTTAAAAATGTAATTTAAATATGTGCAACAAGCTCGTACTTGGCAATATAAAGTTGCCATCCTTAGATACTTGGAATCCAAAATGGGAAGGAAAAAGAGAGAAATTCAAGCACTATTATTACTCTAGTTGTTTCCATCAATCATAGAAACAAATTTAAGTTAATGATTTCAAGAAACTCTCTCCTGCATTAAGAAGTTCAATGCCTTGATGTTAATTGAGTAACTGTTAAAGTGTTTAAAACAGAATAATTTCTCCACACTTCTTGCTTTACCTTGTACACATTTCTTGGGGAAAGCATACATCTTTTTGTGTTTGGATTATGGTTTTATCTGTTTCCATTATGCATTATATTACAGGTATATCATATATGTAGTGTGTTTGCTCCGTTCCCCTTTTCCTGTTAGACTATTACTGCGCCTCAAGGAAGCTTGAAGGTAAGAAAGAAATGGCAATTACCTGGGGTCACTTTTGGCTTTTCATTAATGTTCATCATGGTGGGAATATTTGGACCGTATACATCAGCATCGAGCAAACCAACCCTGAGATTGCATTTACTTGCGAGTGCAACAGCTAAATTCACTGCCCATTAAAACAGCATGCATAACGCTAAAGAATGCACAGAAAGGAGAAATTGGCCCTCATTCCAAAATTTATTAACCTCTTCAAAGTTCAGAAATAAGAATGCTCATAGAACATAGATAAATTTTATAATTTTTGCACGCCTCGTGAAACGAACCGGACTAAACAAATTGTTCCATGTATACACAGCAGAAGATAATCATGAGAGAACTAGTAGAAGATGAGGAAGCAAAATACCTGAAGTGGTAGACTTGCCCACCCCTCCTTTACCAGAGGCGACAGCAATGGTATCTTTAACTCCATCGATACGCAGATGCTTCGCGTAGCTCCTAACACTTCCTAGCCTCTGCGCAAAAAATGAGAATTCAACTTCACACACGACCCACAGTAGTCAAAACCAGAATCCGCGACAAACAGACGGACTTACCTTCAAGAAACTGAACACCTGCCTCATAGATTCCTCCGAAGAAGACAATGACCACACGTCGAGCGAAGTGTGGCGTCAGATTCTCACGTAAAGAAAGTAGGGTGAGCGTCAAGAAGTCCCACATCGTGGAGAAGTAAAGTGCAGCGAGGAAGGGAGACTATAAAAGTGAGTGAAGGGGCACGATTGCAACATACTTACCTGGACGGGGTCAATGGGTGATCATAAAGGCCCATGGCCTAGGCCTGTGACTTCCATTGCACTTGGGAGGGGTGCAAGCCTAAGGTCTACCTAAATGGTGGAGCCTACGTCATAATTTGTGGTAGTGGGGGCCTGCGTTCGCGCGGCCCCTTCCGAGTCTTAGTTTAGCGTTTTGGTTGGCTTTGCTGGATGACGCCTAGTTTGAAAGAGCTAATAAAAAGGAAGTTGAGACCCACTTTAGTAGAAGATGAATTAAGAAGGTTTTCGGAACTTGCTAGGCCTATTTGCAGGAGTCGTTGGAAAAAAAAAAAAAAAGGGAGGCTGTTGTTAAACTTTTCTCCTCTCTCGTGTGGCGGTTTAGTTCTTTGTTTATTTAGCTGAGATATCTTATAATTTAGTATTTAGTTCGTTGAGCTTTAACATTACTTAAATGAATGGTTTTACACAAACATTGGATGTAGAAGAAAGCTTATGATCTCACCAATAGAAAGTTGAACATTTTTTTGGGTAAATATTTTAGGTTAAAAGATATAATTTGTGTTTTAAATAAAATTTTAATTAAAATATTTGAAAAAAAAATCAGATCAAGACCTGCAAAGAAGATAATGCACAACAGGCCAAAAATCAACTTCCACCTAGCATTTCCCATCTGTGATGGCATGAATAAAAAAGATAATAATGTGTATAAATTTGAGGACTACAAATTTCATTATACCTTAATAATTTTTAAAAATAATTACAGTATCACAGCCTCCAAAATACAAAAAGAATTTAATTGAAAAAATGTTTCATTTATTTGTATTGATTAATGACATAAATAATTAGTTATTAGAAAATAATCTAAAATATGATATTCAGTTACAATAGCAATAGTGGGCTAGCCCAAAAAAAAAGTGCAGGATCAGATGGCCAATCTGGGCTATAAAATTACAAATTCACCTTTTTGGAGAATTCTCTTTACGGGAACCAAATGAATGAGGCAGTTGGTTTCAACGGTCAGTCGATCTTCTAGAGAAGGTGCCGCTTGTAATTCCGCGCCTTATTCTATTTTATACATTTTCTTTCTACGTCGGTTGTCATTCGATTTTGTACCTTCCTCACAAATTTCATCCATTTTTATAAAAAATTAGATAAAAAGAAAACAAAAAGAGAAATTCTTTACGGTGTTGTCTGATCTCAAATTGCCACTTTACCTCTCTTCCTCTTCCTCAAGCTCCAGAACAGGTATCACATTTTCTTCGTTTCTCCATAAACCAAAAACCAGTATGGACGAAATTAATGTGTTTTTCAATGATTTTTACACCTTTGATTTTCGAACAATTTAGATGGACTTCCGTTGTGACCAGAATGCACATTATGTTAGATTTTCACCATTGCTACCTTCGTTCACGAACGTTGTTTATAATTTTGTTAGACCAGATCTTGCCGGTCTTTCTTCTGATCATGATTTTGGGAAATTGAGAAAAAAAGTTTCTCCTTTATGTTTCTTTCATATCTTTGCCGAAGAACGGGCGTCTCGAATTTATTCCGAGTTTGGTTTTACGTTGACAAGCTAGGCCTTTGATGTTCTGCTTTAATTGATGCGCGTGGGGATATTAAATTTGTTGTTAGTTGTTAGTATAATAAGGCACTTGATGGCACAGCTGGGTTGGTTTGAATTTATTTTCTGGTTTTGTTCACATTCACAACTGCACTGGTATTTGACAAGATTCAGTCATGACATTGACATTTAGTAGCGTCATGGTTTTTCTTGATCAGTTTATCCAGCAGGTTTCTTTGTTTCTTTGTCAAATGCTCCGGTTCTTCAAGGAATTTTCCTGATTTCAGTCCACTGCTCACGCGTATGGATTCTCATGAACTTCATAATAACTTAAGATGCACAATCTGGCAGTAGCTTGTGTCTTCTTTCAACAAATTCGCTTTTTAACTTCAGATGTATTGAAACATTGTTTGGTATACTAGACACTATATTTGTCCGTTGTTGTTCTTTGGCTGTCTGAGTTTGATCTTTATCTTTGTTTTTAATGATAGACTATTACTAAATGCAAGAGCTTGGATTATAATTTCAAAGCGGTTTTTCATAGACTGTCTCTCACCTTTTATCCCTGGCTTATTGGAATTTATGATGGATGATCGATTTTCAGGGTGTAGCTTAGTGCCCTGTCTTGAGTTATATGGATTTATAGAGCAGTTGAGGTAGAGATGGCAGCAGGTAAAATTTCATTTGTCAAAACACAGGGGATGTGGGGATTCACTGCTCTTCTCGTATCTGCAGTTTGTGAGTGGTTTTTGATAATATTGTTGCTTATTGATGCCCTGCTGTCGTATCTACTGAAAAAGTTTGCAAGTTTCTGTGGATTGCAAGCACCTTGTATGTTGTGCTCTAGGCTTGATGTTGCATTAGGTGGTCAAAAACCCGAGTTATATCGGACACTACTCTGCAGCAATCATATATCAGAAGTTACCTCTCTGATATCATGCCATATTCACAATAAGGTGGCAGATGGAGGTGGCATGTGCGATGACTGTCTCTTGTCATTCACAAGGAAGACTATAGCCAATTCAAAAGCTCATAGATTGGGTCTGGTTCATGGTGACTGTAGTTTCCAGTGCTCATTGAAGGGAGATTTGTTCTCTGGTTCTTCAGGTTCAAGGCCATGTAACTGTTGCGGTAAGCTCTGGACGGCAGGACAAAGTGCCACTTCAGGGCCATGTACCTGTTGTAGATCAATAACATCTCACTGTGTAGGAAAAAACAATTGTGATTCTGAGTTAGAGTTTCCATTTTCGGATGACAATAATGATGTTGCTGCTTTAATTCATGCAAACAATGAAGCTGGGAGTGATCCTAAGTGTCAATGTGCATCAATAACATCATCAAAATTTCCTCCAAGTGACTCAAATCCAGTGGAACAGGACAAGAATAAAGGTAATAATTTCCTCTCTGCTGCACAATCAGAACCTTTCATTTTAGATGGTATTCACTTGATATTAGTGTCACAAGAGAAATGTAATCTCTTTCTTCTTTTCTGCATATTTTTATCTTTTTTTTTTTTTAAAGAAAAGTTAGTATTCACTTTCTGAAATATTTCCAGCGGTAGATGTTTCTCAAGCAAGTGATAATGGACTTCAATCAATCAGAGACCATGAGGGTGATTTAATGAAGAATACTACAAGTGAGGAACAATTCGAACAAACTGATCTGGTTGTAAAAGACTCTTCTCATACAAGTCTTAGGCACAAGAACTTGAGTGAAGTGGATAAATTTTCTACCTCCGTTGAGGAAATAGAAGTACCTTGCTTTATCAGAGAACAACTAACTGAAGAAGTTGATAAAGTCAACGACAAGGAAGAATTGAAGCTATCAACATCACAAATATCTTCTCCTCAAGATTCCAGTGTCTCATCGATTATTCCATCAGGTGATGCTTATCCCCCTGAGATGCAAACTGTTGCTGCTAACCGCAATGTACTTCAAAAGTCAGTCTCATTGGATTCTGGTCTTGAATCTATGGATGGAAGCAATGTCAGTAAAATTGAAGAGGCCTCTCTTATTGATCAATTGAAGAGACAGATTGCGTGTGACAAGCAATGCATGAATTCCTTACACAAGGAACTGGAAGAAGAAAGAAATGCTTCTGCCATTGCAGCAAATGAAGCAATGGCTATGATTACAAAGTTACAAGAGGAAAAGGCAGCACTCCGAATGGAGGCCCTTCAGTACTTAAGAATGATGGAAGAGCAAGCAGAACATGATGCAATTGCATTGGAGAGAGCCGATGATTTGCTGTCAGAAAAGGAAAAAGTGATACAAGATTTGGAAGCAGAGCTAGACTTTTATAGGTTAAACTTGGTAGAAGAACCTATGGTTGAGACTATGCTTGAGGAAAATAGTCATTTGAAAGAGGCAAACAAGACATTACAAAATGTTGGCTTGCCTCACATCACAAATAACATAAACTCTTCTTGCAAAACAATGCAAACTCAGAATTCATAACCAGAAAAGATTTGTCTGTCTTTACCTGCCAATATTTGTGGCCTTTGGGCAAATGTGACCAAAAGAATGACGTTTCATTCGTTTGGTTCGGCTCCCAATTTTGAAGAATCAGTAGAGTTTCAAAAGCAGATATCTCCAATGTGCAGGGAACGAGATAGTAAAGTGCCCAAAAAAATAAATGATAGCAAGCCTTAGCTTTAACCGCTTGTTCCTTCTTTGACCAGTCAGTTTTGAACTGCCCACTGTTGCTTTAACTGATGAGAATCTTGAGTTTTAGTCCCGTTGTATTGATAAGATGGTGAGTTTGACATTTTAATGAGTTCATGTAATGGGAAAGCACTTGCTCTGTAAATCCCAAGTCCAAACATACTGGATTCACTGCGCATGAAGGTCATAGGAGTAGATTGTCCCCAGTTGTGCTAAGTACCCACAGGACATTACAAATTGTAACTGTGACTGATACCATCTGTTCAAGTCAACACACAAAGCATTTATCAAAGACGGAATTGAGGCACAATTCTGAAGTGGTAAAGTAGTTTTTATTTTTTCGGAATATAGTTTTCTATTGTGCATTTCAAACGGTCCTGACAGAATCAGGATCTTGGGAAACAACTCTAAAATGTGTGTTATGTAAACCTCTTATTTTGGATGTTTAGAGTCAAATAGAATGGCATAAATCTCATGATTTTGTAATTGAATTTCAGTATTATTACCTTAAAAAGTATTATGTAGAATGATTGTAAATATTAAGATTTTGACTATCAGTCAAAGAAAATAATGATTTCAGGTAAAAGATAGATGCTGTCAAAAGAAAATCAACAAATACAAAAGGGCAAAAAATAAATAAATAAATAAATAAATTATCTAAACCAAGGGTAGACAACTTAAATAAGATATACATGCATCAAGTGCACAATGCGTGCCAAATCTAAGATCCGTCCCGCACACGAACAAGAAATTGGAAATAAAACATTGTGGGGAATGAATGATTAAGGCAAGGCTACAAAGCAGTAAATGATAACTAATATTGAGTCGCTGAGTTTAATGTCTGTATATGAACCTAAAAATGATGGATTAGGGTCAGGGCGAGTGTGGAATTAGGGGGACGTGTATTTTGAATTATAAAAGTGAAGAGAATGCAAGGGCAGGGTGGAAGATTGCGTGTAGATGAAGCCATCGAATTAATTGCTGCGGGACGGCCTATGTATACTATAAATAGCATTTCATCGTGTGGGTTTGAAAGTGCATTTCCATCGACAGCTCTGAGTACCTGTGGAGGAACGACAATGGCGGTTAAAAGAGTGGTGAGGGTGATGATGATGTTGCTGATTCTGGCAAGCAGTTTGGTTGTGGCTTGAGAAGGAGGAGATGAAGTTGGTGCAGCTGCAGGTAACAGAAACACTGCCAGAAAAGCCCCTGTTCCCCCTTCTGCTGCCTCTTCATGCTCTTACATACCCAATCTCACTCACTCTTCCAATTTTCCCAATTACCCTAAGCCATATCTCTCCTCACTTCCGCTTGCATATATATTGTGTGTTTCTCTGTGGGTGTCATGAATATATGCAGCTATGCCTATGTGCTTTGTATATGTCCAGCTTCCTTAGTTTGATGTCGATTTGCTGTACTTGCGTATGTATTAACTGTGTGTGTTATAGGGGATATGTTATGATGATAGTGATAGCTATACGGTAACAGTGAGGAACGTGTACATGGAGAGAAGATAAGAAGGGCTGGTGGGGACTTGTTTAATGAGTGTTTCAGTACTTGCAGTTAATATACTGTCATTTTTTCTAGGAAATATTTCGTCAGACCACCCCTCCCACCCTCCCACACAACTTATTTATAGTCAACCTCTTAAAATTTTAAAATATCAATTCAGACATCATGTTTGGGTTAAATTTATTTTTGCTAAAAATGACACAAATAACCTTAATCCCTCAAATAAAAATAACTAACATAAGAAAAATGAACAATTGATACATAAAAAATGAATAAATAATATCAGTGAAATTTGTAATTCTTATTAACAACATAATATCATTATGAATATAAATAAATGAAGGTAGTTACATGAATAACTCATATAAAACAAGTGAATAAGTGTTGTACAAAAATAAACAACAAATATAAGGGATTGAGTTATTTGCATCATTTCCCTCAAAAAATTAATTTTAATTTTACTCAAATAGGACCCATAGTGATTAAACTAATGTTTCTAAATTTTGGAGGATTGATTTTAAATAAGTCTAGCCAGGGACTTAATAAAAGAAAAATTTTAATCAAAGCTCTTAGATCGTACTTATTTACATTCAAAGCTCCTAAGTTGATAAAATTTTACTACCATTCAGGGATACTGATTTGATATTAATTTTTTGAGAGAAATGATAAAAATATTTATAACTATAATGACTTGTATATTTCGCAAGAATATATTTGAATGCTGGATTGTTGTGATCTCACAAATTATAATTATAATGAATTTTTTATTTTTTTAAAATATTTATAACAACATATTCAAATATATAAATGGTCTCTTAGTACACATAATAGACTAAATTTTAAAGGTTAATCAATATTTTTTTGTAATAAAAAGTTTACTAACCAAAGTTAATCCATTTGGTAAGAATTTGACTTATAACTAAAATTATGAGTTGAAATTCCATATTCCTCAATGCAAAGACCTTGTTGATGGGTGATATGTAAGTATTTTTATAAATACTTTTCAAACTTGGAAGTTTTTTTTTTATTATTATTCATCATAAGTATCCTTCTATTGAAGATAATATTATTCAAGATCCAATCAAAGATTGAATGTGAGTCTCTCTCATAATGAAAGTTTGAACTTTGGTTCATCACAATTTGAGATACTAGCTCCTTTTATTAGATCCAACATCAATTAGTAACTTGGAGGTTTTGATATTTATTTATTTTGTATAAAAAAAAGGTTTGGATATATATAGTCAAGGCCGAAGCCCTCATGAGCTTGACCCAAATTTAAAGAAAATTCCTGGAACAAAAACATTCTTGGACTGAGTCTGTTAAATGAAAGGAGACGGACAATAGTGAATGACCTCCAACATAAACATAAAGCAAACTTACGAAACTGTACAGCGTACTACTAAGAAGCGAAGCTTCGTACGAGGACTGCGGATCAGACAACGAGTTTAGCCAGCTTTTCTTCCTTTTTTCTTTCTTTAGGCCTGACTTTCTCTATGTGTGTGTGAATTAAAAAGTCAATTTTTCAAATAGGATGACGATTAATGCACGGATGAAATGAAAATAAATCCCTTTGAAATGGTCTTGATTTGTAATTAGTCCGTATTGAGCAGTGAGCGGTCTCGTGGCAAGACTGCTCCCTGCGATTTTGTGATATATATATATATATATATATATTTTATGCGTACTTGCTGTTGATTTGGTTTTCACCATTCAACACACACACACATTTTTTGGTCCACAACACGTATATATATATATATATATATTTTTTTGGTCCACAACACGTATATATATATATATATATATCTTGCTATGCTTAGAGAATTCAAGTGACTTTAACCTATAGTCCATTGATATCCTAAATTTCCAATTCCATTCAATCTTCAAAGATAGGCTCGGTCATATTTCCTCAAATTTCAGGTAAAAACCTTACTTTGAAAGGCAGCCAGGATTCCAAAAAAAAAAAAAAAAAAACAGCCATCGAGAATTAATGTTTTGCGATGTAGACTGAGAAAAACTTGTATAAATAGGCAACCTTGCAAGCAGCCAGCGTGCTCACCCACTCGGCAAAAACAAAAGACAGACCAATTGATCTCTGTGTGTGCAGAAGTAATCATAACAAGAAGAGGATGGATATGGATATGGAGATGAGAAAGGTGGTGAGCGTAGTGGTCGTGTGTGTAATGGTGATGGTGATGGCAGAGTTAGGGCAAGTGGGAGAGACGAGGGCATTACCTGTGGTGGAGTCGCTACGACGAGACGTCACACCTCCGGGTCCAGATCCATGCACCACCATCTCTAAACACCGCAGAGGAGATTGCACCATGTCCATGAACTTCACCGCCCAGCCTCCTCTTTCGTCCCTCCCTCCTCTTCGTTCTGCTGCTAATTGATTCTATCATCAACCTCCCAATCACCTTAATCAATCCCCATACGTTTTAGTTTTTTTTCTTTTATTTGTTCCTTATTATTATTGCTTGTACCCCTACTTAGTTTGTCTGTCATCACTACTCACCAGTGTCTCTCGTAATTATTACATTTCGTGTAATGCTTGATTTATATATAGCCAACGATCAATAATAAAATAAATCACGTCTCGTTTCAACTTTCGAGTTCTGTGTTCTACTTGAAACCTATTGTCTAACCTCAATGAATTTTACATTTATCTTTTGTCGTCAATATATGTAAGCTACGAAACATGCATGCATGTGCTGGTGGGAATCTTGAGCCTCTCATTTAATTTTGGACTCTCTGCACAACTACACTGAACCTACTTTAATTAGTATAATAAAAGCATATACTCTCCCTCCTCTTATTTATAAAACAGAGAGAAAAAAAATCTTTTTGATCTTATTATTGACTTTTTATTGTAAGTTATTTTTATTCTCTATTAAAACTAAGTAAGAGAAAGTATGCTATTATTAAAAGTGTGTATATATAATATACGATGAAGTTAAAAATTTGTTTAATTTTTAGACAAAATTAATGAATTTTAATATTTCTCTTAATTTAAAAAATATATATTAAAAAGATTTATAAATAGAATTGAAAGAACTAAAGGAGTATATGTTTTGTTCAATACATATAGAAAATATTGCCATGGAAAGGGAGTGGCTACTTTATGGGGGAGAGCTTTCCTCTTGAAAACTAATGAAAACTCTCTTTCCAGCTTAGAATCTCCATTTTATCTCCAAACTATCAGTCTTTTTTTTTTTTTTAAGTCGACGTTATTTTTTTTGTTATTTCCATTATTATATTTTTCCTAACATATATACAAAACATGCATGAAATATGCCTCATTCCCATTCCCATTTTATACCAAAACTGGCTATAAAGTTATTTGTTTATTTTGGAAGAATTTATTATGTTCATGCAGTCACATTTGAATGGCAAGTTCACGTAATAAATAATTAATGGGCAAAAGAGTAATGCTTATAGATTATAAGTGTAGGAGTGTCTGAGACTTTAAATTTATTTTTGATATAATATTTTCCTTTAACTCTTAAAAACAGTGCAATTTAGCTCTTATCATTAATAAAAGTTGATTAATTGATAACAAAATAATAGAAAATAAATTTAAAAATTACAAAACATGACCAATAAAATTTTCTTGGTTGCTTTTTGTAATCTTGTGTATTATTGTCTGTAATTTTTGAGTCTTTTATTGTAATTTTTTGAACTTCTTATAATTTTTATGGTTTTTTTTATCATTTTCTAGTCAAAAGTTAAAGAAAAATATTATTAACAATAAATTTAATTTTTTTAATAATATGGCTCCTATTGCATCATATTCAAAAGTTAAAATAAAATATTATATAAAAAAATGAGTCTAGAATTCTAAACACTTTTAGACTTGAGGGTTAATTTATTCCTATCTCGCCCGAATAGTGATC